AGGTCCGCTTTAGACGGGGGGGCACTCACTGGTACCCCTCCAGTAACGATTGTCATCAGTTCTTCGATCTGTGGAAAACCTTTTAGGTCCCCAAAATATTGTCTGACGTGGTTCGGGTCTACCGGTGGTGTGACCAGGGTTCCGCCGAGCGACCGTGCTACCTTCCCTACCGAACCACGGTTGTCTCGCATCATTTGTGTGCAAACCTCTGCTAGTTGATACAGAATTTGTTCTCTCTCTGGTTGTTCAAGGTTTGTTTTTCCGAGTGTTGCTCTGTCCTCGTGCCACCTCGCCACGTGTTTTCGCTGTGTTTCACTGCGCCCTTGGCCATTGGGAATCGATGATGACCCGACGTGGGGAGGGCTACGATGACGCAAGACTCGTTGTTCCGTGGTGTAGGTCGAGCGCAGTCCTACAGGAGGTTGTATATTGCGCTGGAGCTGCTGCGTGGGGGTAAAGTTTGCGTGGTGCGTGAGAGACGGTTGTCGTCGTAGTGCCGACCCTTGGACCATTTCTGGCAGGGTGGGACTTCGAGGACAGGTCGTGTCTGACGCGCCAGGCGCGGTGACCGAAGTGAGAAACGTCGATCGTGCGTCGTCTGGTACACGTGCCTCGTGGGGCTGTGTGCGCGACGGGCGATGGGTCGCCGCTGACTCCTTCAAGGCTGCGAGCGGCGTTGGAGACGTTGGCTGCCGCGCGTCTGACACGGAATACCCCGGGGGGCGTGTGAGAGGCGAGGCGAGCCCCGTGTCCGAAACGCCGACTTCTACGCGTTGTGGGAGAGACGAAAGTCTCCCTGTGTCCGACACAGCTACGTCTGCGGCTTGTGTGGGAGACAGGTGACATGACGTGTCTATCTTTGTGGTAAGCGGTGATACTCGTTGGTCTGCTTCGCGTGTTCGTGGCGGCATCTCGTCAATTCGTGTAGGAAACGGTGGTTGTGCCGACATTTCGAGGGTTCTGGCCCTGGAGTGTGGGGACAACCTACTATCCGATCGTACAGGTGGGCGAGATTCGGCTACGTCGAGGTTTGTGGAGCTACCAGACGGGTTCGTGTGGTTGGTCCACCTATACCTTGCTGCGCGACCGCTATTGCTCAACTTGAGTTGCTCACCGTGAAACAGGGCCGGCGAAACCGACCCCGGCGTGGGCGCGTCCCGAGGCCCCACGGACCTGGCGACGTCGGCGAACCAGGTACCAGCGTGTCCTGACTCCCCTCCCGCACCTACTGTCGGCCCTGCCGTATGGCAGAGCCCAACCTGTCAGAAACCTCCCCTCCCCCCGCCGCCCCTCCCTCCGGCGCCGCGCCCCTGGTTCCCTCCTCCACCGCCCCTGCCGCCGTGGACCGTCATGCTGAAGTTGCCCACGCTGGGCTGGCGGAGCTGCTGCTGCTGCTGCTGCTGCGATGGTAGCGGCTGCGGCGCCGCCGCCTGCTGCGGCGGGGCCTGCGGGGGTGGCGGGACCTGCGGGGGTGGGGAAGCGGCGGAGGTGGCGGAGGCGGGACCGGCGTGTACGTGGTGGAGTTGGCAGTCTGGGATACGGCACTGGCGGCTGAACCACCATCCCTTGCAAAAACCGGGGGGGCACGTCGGGGTCGTGGTCGTGGTCCGCTGCCGCTTGGTTGTCGCTGTCTTGGCCCCGGCCGTTCCGCTCTTCCGCTTTGCACTCGTGGCGGGGGCGAGGGCGGCGGCCACGGTGGGGAGAGGCCATTGGGCTGCCTTTTCCGCGAGACTCTGGGTGTGATCTTCCTCGAGCAAGGTCTTCAGGAGCTTGAATCGCGGAAATGGGACGGCATCCGTGGCGTCCGCGGTGGGGGGGCCGTCCTGGTGCGTCCAGCGTAGGTCGTATGCCATCTTGTGTAAAATGCGGAAACCGTCTTCCAAGCCGCGGTTGATGGCATCCAGGAGGACGTTGCGGACCCGGTTTTCATGGGGCTGCAGGCCTGTGTAGTGGAGGGTGAGGTACGTAGCCAGCTTCCTTGTAATCGATGCGAACTCCGCCCTCCAGGCCGCGACGCGAAGCTTGGCATTCTCCTCGGCCGTGTCCATGCCGTACTCGATCGTTTTGAACAGCACGGTGATGAAGGTGTCGAAGTGGACCGTTACGGGCATGGCAGCGAGGGCGGCGTTGGCGGACTTGGGCGGGAAACAGTGCTCGATTTTTATGTCCGTCAGGCTACACATCTGTTTCCCTCCCTGCTCTGTGATGTGTGAGTATTCGCCGGCGACCATTTTAACGAAGGGCACGTCGACCGGGGCGCGAGTGTCGAATCCGCCCCGCGCGAGGAGCCACAGGGGGCCCGTCGCTTTCCAGTCCTCAGCCCTCATCTTCTCCGTCATCTTCGACCCCGCGGTCGCCGGGGCGGGCGGCGCGGCGCTAGCGGCCACCACCGGTGCGTTGACGGGAGGAAGAAAGCCGCCGGCGGGTTGTTGCTGCTGCTGCTGTGGCTGCTGCTGCTGTTGTGGCTGCTGCTGCAGCTGCTGCTGCTGCTGCTGCTGCTGCTGCTGCTGCAGGATCTGTCCCTGCTGCGCCACCTGTTGGTGTAAGGCCGCCATTTGAGCTTGGTGAGCGTTCATGAACTGGGTGAGCATGGCCTGGATACCGCCGAGTGGGTTCGCGCCGGCACCCTCCTCTGGTCCGTTGTTTGCCGGGGGGGCGTCGCCGCCGTTGTGCACGGCTGCCGGGGGAGCGGCTGCAGCTGCGGCTGCGTCGGCGGCTGCGACAGCGGCTGCGGCAGCGTTTACAGCGGCGGCAGCGTCTGCGGCGGCGGCGTTGGGTGCAGCGGCGTTGGGTGCGGCGCCGTCATACGCGGGTGCGGCTTCGGCCGCGGCTGCGTCTGCTGCTATCTTTGCCTGGACCGCATTTTGCACTGATGGATCCATGGGCAAAATCGATCAAGGCCCTAACTTCCACGCTCCTTCCTCTTGCTTCCTCAACTAGTTGTTTGACTGCACTAGCGTTCTCTTCCCCGAGACGCGGGTGCACAAGAAGACTGAAGACATTGCACGCAGGGGACGCTCAGCACCCGTCCCCTGCTTTCTTTCGAATTCAACAAACGCCTTCCACAAACAACGCTTTCCTTCTGAACGCTACATTTTTGGTTGAGATATCGGGTGTTAGCGAGGTATTTAGTGAGAAACTTTTGCGAGCAAGGGGGATGATAGATACACTCGCAACAGTTTTTTTGTTTTTGTTGCTGTTTCTCACATTAGCTCTCAAAAAGAAGGATTGGGAGCCCGTGGTCTCAAAACCCGGCATACACGACCCCACGAAGAAACAGAAAAAAATAGGGTACAAAAACCACTCGGAAGAGAAACAAAATGATAGAAAGAAAGACCAGCTACCGCACCACACGAGAAAGAGCGTCGAGGAGACCGATCAAAATAAAATAAAAGGAGAACGGGGAACAGCAGTTCTGGTCGTGAGGACCCCAGGGGGATACGTGTCGGGATTTTCGTGCGTTTTAGGGTACCCGTGGTGCAGTCACGGGGACCCTTTTGGCGTGGTTCAGGAGGGCACGTGGATTGCAATCCCCCGCACCTATGCCACCCCCCCCCCCCCCCCCCCCCCCCCCCCCCCCCCCCCCCCCCC